CCACAAAACCCCAAAACCCCAAAACCCCAAAACCCCAAAACCCCAAAACCCCTACAGAAGAGGATTCAATAGGGAGCAGAGAAATTATAAATAAGATGGATAAAGCAGTGGGAGATGATGATGACCTTATGGCTATGCTAGAGGAATCACAGAATGATTTTGAGAAGAATAAGGAGGAAAAGAAGGAAGAAGAGGGAGATTTGATTGAGGAATTGCAGAAGACTGAGAAAATGGATAAAGAACAAACAGAATCTGAAGAGAAGCAAGAAACCATGCAAAATGATTTCATGAAAGGATTTGAGGACTTGGCTAAAAATCTTCCTAACTCAGGCCCTGATGGAGGCAACATTACTGAACAAGAAATGAAGGAAGCCATGAATATGTTCCAGAACATGTTCAAATTCCCTCAGGAAGGAGATACTGGAAAGAGTGAGGAGAAGAAGGAAGGTGACGCAAAAGCTGATGGAGCCGGTACTAATCAAAGTAATCCCTTCCTAGCCGGGTACACTAACATGGCCAAGGACGCTAAGAACGCTGGTGAAACAGGCGGTATTCCTGGCATGGAAAATCTTGGAGAGATGTTCAAGGACGAAGAGTTCCAAAACTTTTTCAATAACTTCACTCAAGGTATCTTTAAAGGAGGTGAAGGCAGCGAAGGCGGCGAAGGCGGTGAAGGAGCAGAAGGAGGATTTGACCCATCCAAAATGTTTGAGGGACTAGGCACAGGCAATCCTGAAGAAATGATGGAGAACATGATGAAAGAAATGGGAGGATATTTAGAAGAAAACAAAGACGACCCCGAGATCAAGAATACTATTGATGAGATGATGTCCTCTCTTGTAGAAAAAGATTCCATCTACCCTTCTCTTAAGTTAATGAAGGATGAGTTCCCAGATTATCTTGAAAAGAATGAAGACAATGTCAGTGTTAAGGATCTTGAAAGATATAACGAACAACTAGATTGAATCGAAGAGCTTTGAGAGCTGTACGAGACTAATGACAAACCGAATAAAGATGACGTTGCTAATTTGTTATTCAAACTTCAGACTTTTGGAGCCCCACCTGACGAATTGGTAAAGAAGATGAGAGAGACATGAGGTGCTAATATGGGTGCGCTTGGAGGAATGGGTAATTTAGCAGGGCTTCCAGGAATGGGAGGAATGGGATTTCCCGGAATGCCACAGAAAAAATAGGTTAATAATATTTTCTTTGCCTCAACGAATTGCTTAAAAATAGGGGTTTTGGGGTTTTGGGGTTTTGGGGTTTTGGGG